TAGTTCTTCTGGTCTCATAGTTGTATAGGTTGCAGATCGGATGGTGTACCAGTCGCTAGGACTGATTGTTTCCATTAATTTTGGTTTTCTTCTTTCTACAAACACATTTTTTAAAAACACTTTTCCCTAGTAACTAAGGCCTAGAGGTGATGACAGAAAACATATGGAAAGCTGTTGATAAACTTAAGCTGCCCATGTGGATTTACTCATTCAAACATGATATCACCTACTATATGTGAAAAAACACAAGGTGATAAAAAGAGATTATGAATAGTTTCTGTGTTCACACAGCTCACAAACTTGGGGAAAGAACAATTTAACATCATTCCTACCTAAAAATAGATTTTATTCCTCATTTCACTGAAAAGTGCCAGCAACTATTTAATTGGCTATGAATATATACAGTAAATGAATATATTTTAAGAAATGCATTATGGGAAGTAGACTTTGATTTAAACTAGACTCTTCCCTCTTACCACCATATATTTGCCTGTCAAACCATCAAAGGTAGATGGTCCACATCAAGGAAACAGCATGAGTTTGGACTAAAAGGAATTAGGGGAATAATTAATAACTTGATATGGAAATAATAAAATATAGGAGTGACATGGAAGAAGATAAAGTTGGATGTGCAGCGTAAGTCCAACCATGAAGGAACTCAAATGCCATCTTAGCACTTGTTCCTATATGAATTTCAGACAAGTCACTCTGGTGGAAATATGGAGATGGACTGGAAGGGAGTCAAATCTAGTAATTCACAGGGTTGTGGTGAGAGTTAGAAATATGTAAAGAAGTTCAGCACAGGCCTTCCACTATTGTAGTCCACAGTGCTTGACTTGGTAAGCACTCAAATCTTGGTTGAATCGACCAGCCAGAGCAAAGATTTGTTAAAAAAAGATCTAAAATGACTTAATTTCAAGATGAAAAATGAATACTTTTTTTCCACAACCAATTTAAATATTGTAATTTTCCTATTAAAATCCACTAGCATTAAATCCTTAGGAAAACAGACTGAAAGGATCCTCTAAGAGTCCTATCCTGACATGAAAGTTAAGAGAAAACAGGCACTAACTTAAGGAAAATATTAGGGCACTAATAAAAACACAGGAGCCCTGGTGACACAGTGGTTAAAGTGTTTGGCTGCTAACCAAAAGGGGTTCAAGCCCACCAACAGCTCTGTGGGAGAAAGACATGGCAGTCTGCTTCCCTAAAGATTTATAGCCTTGGAAACCCTATGGGGCAGTTCTACTCTGTCCTATAGGGTTGCTATGAGTTGGAATAGACTCAGTGGAAGTGGGTTTGGTTTGATTTGGTTAATAAACACCCCAATACTCATAAATAGGAACTGTCACATAGGAAATGTACCTCCTCTCCTCACCTCTGTTCCGCAGGCTCTGCTCCTCTCTGAGACAATAGCAGCATGCTGTCCTGTTTCTCATGCACAACTGGAACCTGGGGTGGGGAGATGGGCTCGTAGGTCTCTGAAGAGACATGACTCCTCTCTGGGGATTTTCCAGGCCTAATATTGTAATATGTAAAATATTAGATTGTGCTTCAAGGGCTTACCTAGGGCTTAAACAGAAATTGGTTAACTCATTACTTCATTCAGGAAACGGCAAGAAAAGTTGTCAACACTGGGCAGAAAATAGCTGCCTCAGGCATTCACTATATACCTAAGGTGGTGGTGGTTATGTGCCGTGGAGTCCGACCCGACTCATAGCGACCCCTCCTTGGGTT